ATTGAAGTTTTGTACTTCTTTGACATTCCGGAATGTCTCTCCTGAAAAAGTCTCGAACCTTCTGAAATGCACCTCATGACGTTTTAAAACGTGGAATACGGGTGCAAATTACAGAGTTAAAGTTGAAAAGCCGATCTTCGTTTAGTATTAACTAGTAGCATGGCCCGGCGTTGCCCGTGCTTGATTCAAAAATCGTACGACTCATACAGCAATCGCTATCACTTGACTTAAAATATTTTTGCCCTTCCTTGCCTTTAAAGGAGTGCCTTTGCCGTGCTGATGTTGCTACATGCCTTACTTCTTGCCTATCTCACACTGCGAATTTTTTCTAAGCTCTATACTAAAACATTAAATCTGTTACGAAAAAAGAACTAAACAAAATGAACACAAAACGATCAGCTTTAAAAAGGACTCGTAACTGGAAAAACCGAATGAAAAAAGAATGTTAACAACAAATACTTTTTCACACTTAACCCAGTTCTGCGAAATCAGAATCAACGTTGAGTATAAGCAAGCGAATGAGACAATTGGAGTAAAGTGCCATGCAAATTTAAATTTTTCCCACTTGTGACGAATGCAGCTATCGATTTTTTTGCATGCTAGCATGCTAGATAACATTCGTGTCAGTCAGCTGTTGGCTCTCACGCTGGACAGTAGAAAATGGCCGCAAACTATATGAAAACTGCCGTGGAAGCATGAAAAAATCGATTATTTCCACTATCGATGGAAGTTGGGAAATGAAAAGTCGGTCTTGGCCTTCCCGTTAACTTGGAGCATGTGCATGTACATTTTGGTGCAAATCCGTCGAAAATTGCGATCGTGCATTCGTTACACACACACACACACACACACACACACACACACACACACACACACACATCCTGCCTTTTATAGATAGAGTTATAAATTTCGTTTTTTAAATTATGTGTTGCTATATTTATTTCTATAAGAGTTTAGCCTGCGTGTTTATTGGGCAGTCTTCATAAATAGAATTTCTTTATTAGGATCTTAAACATCGCTTTATTTCAAACAGAACCTGACACATAATTGGTCTGTGCGATCAATAATAACGTTATCTTTACGCTTAACCTATCTTTCATTCGAACGTTCCAGGTCAATTAATGCCAATGCTTTACTGATAGTTTCGGTAAAATGTATTTTAATTATGTCTTATTTCTTTAAAGTTATTAAATGTTTAAACGATAAAGAAATTTTCAAATAAGGCGATAAAAACGAATTTATTTAAGATTTCTTACTTAATGGCACGGTGGAGTAATGGCTAGCGGCTCGGTAGAGCCGAGTTAGAATTCCAGTTGAATCCATTACATTCACTTACGCGCTAATACACTTGGGAAAAGTATGAATCTTCTTCTTTAGAATATTATGACTTACCCTTTTTTATTAAATCGAGATCACCCCATGTAAGGAAGTAAAATCACTAAGACGCAATGGGTGTGGAAGAATTAGAAAACAGAAACATTACACAGGAACGGGAACAAAAGAAGAGTAATCAGGATGACAGTAGATAGCGATTGACATTGCATTTAAATTTTGGGAAGATTAAAGTTGACTGGAAAGCATGGAGACACAAGAGAGTTCCATAAGTGAGAATTGCGAGAAAAGAAACTGTTAGCAGGGAATTTACGGTTATATCTAACCAACTCAACTCTAGATTGATAAGATCATGACATATATATATATATATATATATATATATATATATATATATATATATATATATATAAAACAACTAAAAAGTTACAAACTAAAAAAATAATAATGTTTTTTTATGAAAGTATTTATTTATATTTGATATTTCAGCTCGACCTCGATCTGAAGAGAGTTCCATAAGTGTGAATTATGAGAAAAGAAAATGTTAGCAGGGAATTTACGGTTATATCTAACCAACTCAACTAAATCCTGAAGTCACATATATATATATATATATATATATATATATATATATATATATATATATATATATATATATATATAATCGAGTTCACCCCAAGCAAGGCAGTAAAGCCACTGAGACACAAGGATTTACTGGGTGTGGAAGAGTTTGAAAACAAAAACTTTACTAGGGAGCGAGATCAAAAGAAGAGTAATCAGGATGACAGTAGATAGCGATAGCGATTGACATTGCATTTAAATTTTTGGAAGATTAAAGTTGACTGGAAAGCATGGTGACGAAATAGAGTTCCCAAGCAAGATGAACGAGAAAAGAAACTATTATTGGTAAGTAGCAGGACAGACCGGGTTCTATAGCCTTGGATGGCAATTGGTCTACCGCAGGAAGCAATGGCAACCTACTGCAGGAAACAAATCTGTCTCGTCAGTTATGTATCGAAATATAATTACCTAATCGTGTATCACGTATGGCACTTTAACTGACTGACTTGATGTCGCGTAAGAAGCACATTCGACTCAAATATAAAAATTTAATGTTACAATATTAAGGTTAAGATAAGTACAAGTAGTGGTAGTCTAAAGCATAAATAAATTAAAATAAAAAAATGAAACATTCAAATTTCTATAATGATACGGTTAAAGTAATAATTAAGCGACGTAGGCATAATGAGATTCTTCACGTTTTGTGTCCCTAATTTAAATTTTGTTTTAAAAAAATTATTTTTCTACTGACGCCGATTCATTGACAAAGCAAGTCAAAATATAAGTTTTACAAATTGTATAATAGATATATGTCGGCATTTTTTAAATCGAGATCACCACAAGCAAGGTAATAAAATGACTAAGACACAAGGGGTTACAGGGTGCGAAAGAATTAGGAAACAGAAACATTACACAGGAGCGAGAATAAAAGAAGAGTGATCAGCACAGTAGATAGCGAATGACACTGCATTTAAATCTTTGAAGATTAAAGATGGTTGAAAAGCATGGAACCGGAATGTGGTCGACAATGCAGAGAAGTCATTGAAAATAAGGGGATGTTTACCAAATATTAGATTTTGTTGATATTTTGTTCACAATCAAGTATTAACAAGATCGTTCCTTAACTTTTGTCCAGTAGCCTATTTCCTTTGTTACATTTAATCTTTATTTAAAAAAAATAAACTATTATGTAAATTTTTGTAACTTTGTATAATATTTATGCATTACACCCTAATCTTTATTCGGTAAAAATTTCATTGCTAATCATGCATTACTTTTTAAGTAATACACATATTTATGTCTTTGTTGTTTCCGTTCCTTATATTATGGCCGCTACTGTATATATATATATATATATATATATATATATATATATATATATATATATATATATATATGGTTATGTCTTGAGAATATCTGATGACGAGATGCCCAAGATACTAATGTACTGCTAGTTAGATCAGAGCTACAGGTATGGCTAAGATACAAAAACATAACACCCCCGAGCGCTTAGACGTTGTGTGGGTAGAATGGCGATCAACGTGTTTTAGTGGACTCAGCAATTTTCAATCAGCTTGTCTGATCGTTTTCAAGCTAGAGCAAGATCTAAAAGGTCAGCCAATCTAAAAGTGATCTCCTCCCACAATCCTTACTCTTGCTCCGTATGCGGCCTCCTTTGCAAATCACTAGCGGGTCTTGAGGACCACTTAAAATTATCGCAGAAAATTTCATAACTGAATCAATTAAGTCGTCAGATCCGCATACGTCAAAACCGACGGGAGAGTCCATTATTATTATTATGTTATATATTATTATATATATATATATATATATATATATATATATATATATATAAAAGAATTACTTGTACTATTACAAGAAAAATTGAATAGAAACTTGTCAGTCATCTTTATTAAAACTTACATAAAAGAGGGATTATTTACATTATTTACTTTGTTCGTACTGTTGTCGTCATCTTTATTATCATATTCAGGACATTTCGGCCGTTTTACCCCCCGCCCAGCCTTCTTCAGGTGATTGGAATTTCGAACTGAACGAAATAAAGGGTTAAGTTCGAAATTCCAATCACCTGAAGAAGGCAGGGGCATACATGGGCCGAAATGTCCTGAATACGACAATGAAGAAGAAAACAGTCCGAACAATGTAAATAATATAAATAATTAAATACCTCTTCTCAGTAATATGCACAGATAAAAGAGGAATTGCTGCCCAAATATGCAATTATATATATATATATATATATATATATATATATATATATATATATAGAGAGAGAGAGAGAGAGAGAACAGTTAGACTACTCGCACATACGAATTGATTATAGTAATGAAGGCTTGTTCAAGGTACGCCACACTTAGCAATCATCTTCGAATAATGGCCTGGGATATACGGAAAAAGCAACAGGAACAAGATGAATACTAGTTGAAAATTAATCATTTTTTCTTTTGAGAATTACTATGATATTCGATTACAAGAGACTGAGCTATATTTGGATCACACGATGAGATTCCCCCCTTACAATCAACAATTTCTGATAACATTCTAAAAGCAACCGCTCAAAGATTCCATCACGTTTCGCTATAAACGTCCATAAAAAAAAACATTCTACAGATTTAATGTCACCGAGTGTGGAATAGAAAATGTCTTTTGTATAATTTATCGGTTAGCAGAGACATAAACACATTCGCTTCCAAAGCTCGAAGAAGGCGACCGGATTATGGGAAGGGGGATTTTACAACTTCGAGTTCCACAGGTATCTTGGAGATTGGAAAAAATGGCCGTTTCCGATGAATGAAGGTTGCCACCGAAGCGCCTGCCAAATTCTGACAGTTCCGGTCGAATATATTTTCTTTTCTCGTTTAATTTCACAGTTGCTTGGAACTGGAATCGATTAACACAAGACTAGATAGATAGATAGATAGATAGATAGATAGATAATGAGCAAACTCAGATAGATAGATAGATAGATAGATAGATAGATAGATAGATAGATAGATAGATAGATAGATAGAAAATAGGACTAAAATAGGAGCAGAATAAGATGGATAAGTGAATAGAAACAAATATATGAAAAGCAGTGTGAAAATTCAGATAGATAGATAGATAGATAGATAGATAGATAGATAGATAGATAGATAGATAAAAAATAGGATTAAACAGGAACAAAATAAATGGATAAGCGAATAGAAACTAGTATATGAAAACAATAGTAAAGAATCATATGAAGAGATTGAGATAGATAGATAGATAGATAGATAGATAGATAGATAGATAGAAAATAAGACTAATACAGTAATAGAATTAGCTAAGTGAATAGAAACAAATATATGAAAATAATAGTGAATATTCATATGAAGAGATTGAGATAGATAGATAGATAGATAGATAGATAGATAGATAGATAGATAGATAGATAGATAGATATGTGGCTTCCCTCTGTCTTTTCTATAAAAATTTCATGGCATCTGCACGGACGAACTATTTTCACTGGTGTCCAAACTGCATGAATTTAAGCGTGTTACTAGGTTGGCATCTCGGTCGAAACAGTTAAATGCAACCGCCTCTTCTACTCCAACAGCTTCTTCTCTCGCACTTCCCGACAGTGGAACTCCCTTCCTCTTACTTACTTCCCTTATAACTATAATCTTCAAAAATTTAAATGTAATGTCAATCTTCCTCTTCTGTTGCCTTGATCCACGTTCTTCTTTTTATCCTTTCCTCGCCCCCCTCTATACCAAGTCTTTTCCCTCACTTACACTCTCTGTAGCCCCTTGCTTGGGGTGAATTGCTTAAAATAGCTAAAAGCTTATTGTATAAAATAAAAAGAGGGCTCAATGCCAAAATCGACAGGGCCCAAATAAAATATATTGAGTTGGTGTATAATTATCAGGCGTTTTTAAATACTATTTATTAAGAAAATCGCCTGATAATTAAGCACCAACCCAATAATAATACAAGCATATTCGCTACACAGAGTTTCATGCAATGTCTGTCATCATGCCAAACTACAGAACCAACCTATCGCTTAACTTATTGTCCAAAGATGGCAGGTAACTCCTACCCCGATGCGTATTTTAAATTAAATATTTATTCTTATGCCAGCAGGCAGTTCGTTTATTTTATTCAAGAGTTGAGCTCCTATTCGCTTCATGATTATTAATTTTTTCCGTCGAGCATAAATTACAGCCTTTCCCCGATCCGTTATATGATCTTGTTTTGGCCAGTATTTTTATTTGGTATGTACCTCTTTTCCATGCTCTAAAAATAGTAAAAAGCGAAGTACAGCGTTCGTATTTACTGTTGGTCAAACTCATTTACTGATCGCAGTATTGTCTCTTCCATTCACCGTCGGCGGCTCCTACGTAGTATTTGAGCTCTCCACTACTGATTGCCTTAGCTTCGTAGACAGCATCCTTTGCTAAACATGCTTCGTTCATGAGGCATTCTTCTTTTAGTCTACAATTACATCAACCGAGTTCTTCGTTAACAGATCTCTCCATTATGTTTCTATTACGGCTCACTTTTTCCTATGATGCTGGTGATTTTATCCGGCCTTCATGAAGCGATCGTCGATTCGTGTAAAGCTTCGGGGAATTTCAGACTGTACCCTCGATTTATTTAGTCTACTTTGGCCAGATAGGGTTGCAAATATTTGTAAATCCATTTTCAAGAACAGTTCAACAATGTCTAGCGTCTCTAACGCAATGAGTCTGAACCCCCAGGATCAGCATTCGTCTTGCTTTGGCTAACGGCCACATAAAGTTTCCTTACAATCACCGAAGTTAAGCAACGTCGAGCCTGGTCAGTATCTTGATGGGTGACCGCTTGGGAATACTAGGTGAATTCAGCGTAGACGTGCCCAAGTCGAATGCTTCATTGTTCTATTGATTCGTTTTTAACGGCTTATCGACATTTAGCAGGTTATTTTAGACCAAAAATATTTTTGAATCGTAAGAATTTTTTTTAGATAATTATTGTTTATTAATACAAGTCTTACTAATTAACCCATAGATGGGGAGGGAGAAGAGGTAGATTTATACCTTTAACAATTCCTAGACATTATCCATTACACCATCCAAGCTTACAGCACCTGGTATACCAAAGCGGGCACCCATCTAGATACTGACCAGACTCGACGTTCATTAACTTCGGTGATCGGAGGAGAACCCGTGTTTAGCGAATAACATCATCTGTTATTTGACGTAAGTAATACATTTTTGCGCTAAGCGTGAATGGCCAGAGTGTTTTGCTTCACTTAAACACTTTTGCGAATGACGCTTATTCACGACACTTCGCAATGTAGAGCTCTGTAAAAACATGTATATAGTTTTTTTTCTTCAAAATCTATAGTATCACAGATAATATTGTATATTCTTTAAAATAATTTTGGCGATAATTAGCCTTTAGCCTTTATTTCTTTTTTCCAGTGGCCGATCAGATTCTAAAATAAATTTTGTCCATTATTCGTAATTTAGCGCGTGTCCTACAAAGTAATCTAGGGATACACAGACTAGATTCAATCTTTTTATTCATGTCTGGCAAAAGACATGATTGGTCTTTTTGTACTTACCCAAACTTAATAAATATGTATAATTTCATTAAATTATTACATTTTTTTCTTACCTGTTTCTGGCGTAAGAATAACATCATAGCAGGATCTATTATTTAAATTCCAGTTGTTTTCTGTCCAGATTCATCCCAAAAAAGCTGTTATCAAAAACATAGATGTAGACGCATAAACAGGACACAAAGAGAAAGAGGATAAAAGAAATATATTTCCAATCATATTCAACACAAACAAATGCTGAAATCAATATTAAAATGAATGAATTCACGGGGTATGGAAAAGCGAAGTCAACAACGCTTCTGTATTTTTTATTCTTTCTTGTTCCTGCGAGGTTTTGTTTGTTTTCAATGAAGCATATATTCTCATTTTCTATTCTGTTTTTTTTTTGTTTGTTTTTTTTTTCAGAAAATTCTGGTATAACAAACAAGAAACTTCCTTTGTAATGTACGTTTTTTTGTATGTCTGTGCGTTGCTACATTGATTCATTTATCATTCGAATTATTATTTATTACTGATTTTATCATCTCAACGGTTGAACCACCGGATGAAGAAGGCTACGCATGAGAGATATGCTACAGAAGGCGCCACTCGAAATTATAACAGTCAGCAGCAGTCCATTGACGTTACATAACTGGGTTCTGTATATTTCATTCCGTATCTGCCGCAGAGGAAGGTCATGAAATCAAGTGTATGGTTCACTTCTTGACAAATTGACGTCCACCTTAAACAAATTCACGCCATCGGCGCTTTCTTCTATTTTGATCTTGCTTCACCTAAAGATAATACAGCAAAGGCATCTATAGAAGGCCATGATCGTGACAACAAAACACGCACACACGGTTTGTTCATTTCTATATTTCTAGTTGCAGTGGAAAGGATAAAATTTCTGACGGTCCGAATGTGGGGTGAGGGACACGTCGCTAACACCATAATGTTCGCTGGTACACACACACACACACACACACACACACACATAGATAGATAGATAGATAGATAGATAGATAGATAGATAGATAGATAGATAGATATAGTTAATGCAACAGTTTTTACATCACTAGATTTGCCACATTTTTGAGATTTCCATTTATTATTATTATTATTATAGTCAAAACATGTGACGAGTCATTACTATCTTTGCGAAACTCAGAGCTAATAAAGTGGAATATTAAAGTTTATTTGTTGCCATATATATATATATATATATATATACAAGAAGACTCACGTTACACATCACTGACCACAAGTCATTCATTTAAAAACACATGGTAACCTGCGAAACTCCATCCGTATAATAGCCTTATTCACACGTAAAAAAAAACTAAAAATAATGGAAGGTCAAATAATAATAAAATAAATCAAACACGGTCACAAAATACTGACCGTGATTGTAAAATTTTAAAAATCCTATAACTCTAAATACCTACATAAAAAAATCCTTTATAATGTACAAAAATAATAGTCAAAATCGCTTGGATATAGGGAACATTTGGATAATTTTTACACACTTTATGCACAGAAAGGAAAACTGTTATACGGACAGAATGAAATAAAGAAGCTTAATAACAGTACCTTGTCTGTCGTTTTTACTGAAATTTGTGGATTGAACATTTAACAGCGTCTACCGTAAACTTTCAAATTAATAACTCAAAAACAAAGGATTTGCGGACATATGCTTATATGGACGGTTTTCCTTGTTATGGTGGGAGGAACCTGACCCCAATATTTGGATAAGTATTTTTGATACCCCCTATATATATATATATATATATATATATATATATATATATATATATATATATATATAGTGAATGCAACATTTTTTCCATCCCTAGTTCCTCTGATAACGTAGTACATATCTAAATTTATATAATGATTTACTTGATAAGATTTACAGGTAGCGTAACGGTTACCTGCGTGGAAAGTGGACTGACTTGTCTGTTACGTTCACTTTCTAACAAAGCCATTTCTTATGACCCAATGTATGGATTAAATAGCTGGGTAGACCATGCTCATGATCCTTATATATTCAATTCCATATATATTATAATTCCGAATTACAAACCGTGGAGAAGGCTACGGTGAACCACTCCCCAATATTTCTCAAGATGCCATGCAAAACTAGAGATAATAATGAAAAAGAGTCTGTGGAAACTGATGTCCATAACTGTTCAAAGTTTAAGAATATTAAGTGTTTATAAATACATGAATCTTGTCTAGTTTTATATTCACAGAGTGTTATATTCCGTGCTAAGGGAATAAATACCTAACACCAGATGAATAATAGAAGAATGGTTTATTGTACGCAACAAGTACAATATGAAATACGGTACAATTATACACACAGGTCAATCTAGTAGTGAGTGTCACGAACTGGGAGGTCGGACGTGCTTGCGTCTTCTCTCTCTCACTCTCTCTCTTACACTCTCTCTCTCTCTCTCCTCTCTCTCTCTCTCTCTCTCTCTCTCTCTCTCTCTCTCTCTTCTCTCCTTTGTCTCCCTCCAGTCTCTCGAAGACAGTTGACTCTATAGGTACTTACTACCTATAGTGTAATCATTCATGGGGATGACTGGTTATTCCACAGAGTATTGAAGATAAATCAGTAATGTCCATAAGTATTCCGAAGAAGCGACCGCGTAGGTTAGCATATAAAGTGTCCTGGATACAAATGACTATTAGTAGCCGGAATCTCAACAATCTCCACTATTCTGATGATATCGTACTGATAGCAACATCGTCGGAGAAAGTCCAAAGCCTCCTTAATGAGATGGAAAGAGTCTGTGATGAGTATCAGCAGAAGATAACCTCCCAGAAGACGATAGTCACGACAGACATTGGATTGGTGAACCAATGTAGCTGTACCTTCGTTGGCGAGTCGTTACGCTGACTCAAATGAAGAAATTAAAGTAACTGTGAACTATCATCGATCAAACAGCAAATAGTAGTTATGAGATGAGGGTTCGGTTCACGGAAACAAATTCGACACTTAGGTCACTTAATCCTCTGTGGAAAAAATATGCTATTCACAAAAGTATTTGGGTGAAGATCCTGAAGACCCCTTTGGGTGGGGCGGTGGCACTGTATATGAGAAACCTAGACGCAGAAAACCACTTATGTTAACAAAGTGGAAATATTGAAGAACTCACCCGAGTCCTGGATTTGACGGGACAAGAGGCGAACCTCCGCGACCTTTTTCTAATATTCTGCCCTGACAACTGCTAAGCAAAAATTTTACCCTCCATAGGATTGTCAGAGCATTCCCTATTCAGTATCAGATTGACTGCAAACCAATGACATCCCCTGATTTACCGTTCAATAGATCGGTTTTTCGCTATGCGAAGGCAGACTGGGACAACTTTCGGTCCTATATGACGGAAGCTCATCTCCCAACCTTCTTCAAATATGCTGCCCATAAAACTGCTGCCCACAAAACTGCTGCCCTAATCTTCGACTGGGTCCTTTCTGGAATGCATTGTTTTATACCCCCTAAAATATTCTAGCAAAAAACAGACAGCCTAGGTTACTCCTGAATGCGCTGCAACCATACCTCACCGGAACCACTAGTTCAAAATCTATTACAAGGAGACCTTACTGCTTTTAGAACAGCCCACAATCGCCGTAAGAGAATTCTGGAATACGCAGTGCAGCTAGGCGAGAGCTGTCCAGACTAGGATTGAAAAGAAACAAATTGGATATCGCAAATTCTAGATTACCAACCAAATTATAAATAGATCCAAAGCAGCTGTGCCCACTATTATAAATGGCCTCGAGGTCGCGACGTTGGGGAAACGAAAACTACAATATATGCCAAGTCAATATATATTCACAAATTATATGCCAAGTCGTCAGGGCCCAGAAAATCAACGGGTAGAGCAAAGCAACGTTGGACTGATAACACCGGAGATTAGATGAGGAGAACGCTCGTTGTGTTACCGGTCGGACTTGGGCAGAAGAGACAGTGAAGAACATTGATACATTTGAAAATAGTCCCCGACCATCTGTAATAAGGACGGGAACAAACAAACAATAAACATAATACAATTTCAAAGTTACTTAAATAGTCCTGCATCTATCTCGATTGGGGGTTTTTTGTTATAAGCGAACTGTGACTTTATTTGAACATAAACTTTAATTGTTAAGATTACAAATGATATCTTAAAGGCAAATCAATATCCAAAATTTCTATTATTACCAGCAGATGGCGCAGTGAAATAAATTTAAAATAAAAATTCTTTATATAAAATCTTTATGACAGGTAATATTAAGATAAATTCTTGTCGTAAAAATATTGATTTTCAGTATTTCCGTTGCTAGATACTTGATATAGTCTATTTTCCAATAAATTATTAAGCAAAACTTAGCTTAATCAATTAAATTGCTGACGGATGTCACAGAAAAGCCGTTCGCCTTTGCAGTCATAGCCGCCGTTATTAGCAAATTATATGCCATCATGATTTTCCACAGAACGTGTCCAATGAAGATTAAAGTGTTCCTGTGAGAAAATGAAATGAAATCTGGTTCTTTTTAAATATTTAATCACTTAATTCAATAATATTAGTTAATTGACTATTGTGAGTCAATTTAATTAAACTCTAAGGACGCAGTGAAAACAAGATTGTGACCGCCATGTTAGAGAAAAATTACATTTGATTCTTACGTTAGGATATAAAACTTGGTACACTGCGAAACAATGTCATACTCCTGACCCAAGAAAATCACTTTCTTGCAAGCAGTAACACTCTATCTTGCAAGCAAGATAGAGGGGTTACTGCATCGAAAATATTTTTACAAACGTTGGGGACGGGTTCTTCACACAAAAAAAAGACAAAATTCTATATAAACATATGCCCGTAAATACTTTGTTTTTGAGTTAAGTTTAAAGTTTACGGTAGACACTATTAAATTTACAATCCAAGATACAATTCCAAAATACATTACCATTTTTTAAGTGAAACTTTTATCATTTAACTCACTACTACAGACATTAAACGTTGAAGACAGACTAGCCACAAATGTGCACGAATGACAAATATAACCTATAAAAATAACGTATAAACAATGAATATATGACTTCCGTCAAGCTAACCGTTTAAATAGGTCATGGTCTGGTCACTCCTCCTCCTCCAATACTAAGTATGATTTAGAGCGATATTAAATTAAACCCTCCCTAAACACTACCATGTCTCTCTAACGACCCCTTTTACACCCTCTGTTAAATTGCAAAAACACTACCCATCAATTTTCATTTCATTTTTGTAAGTGCTATCTGATGATCCGAGTTCTTTAAAGGGGCTCTGGTGAAATAAATTATTATAATGGAACCTTAAAATGGTCTGTTTTTTTATACATATATATATATATATATATATATATATATATATATATATATATATATATATATATATATATATATATATTTATTTATTGTTTTTTATAGATATAAATATTTAAGTAAATACTCTGTTTATAATAAAAAGAGTATTAACAAATTTTCAGCTTGAATGTCCTGTAAATTTCATAGAAAATATCTCCTACTGACCAGACGCTTCCTCTGTAGCTAAATGGTATAGCACGTCAGGCTATATGACGGGTCCGTGTAGGATACAGGTTCGATTCCTGTCGGGGGACACATATTTTCTATGAAATGTCTCGAACATTCAGGCTGGTAAACGATGTTAATACTGTTTATTATAAACAGAACATTACTTAAATATTTGTATCTATAAAAATAACGTAAAAACAATGAATATATTAAAATAATTGCCGGACTTAGTCCAGCTTACAACATATATATATATATATATATATATATATATATATATATATATATATATATATAAAAGTGAACATAGAAGTCAACACTTAGAGGCGACAGTCTGTTTCATGCTATATGCAATCGTCAGGCCACGTGTGCTGTTATTTTTCTCGGCTATTTATATATATACGGGTCAGTGGTGCATTGTGGGTAGTCTATTATGGCGGTTATTTTACCGGAAGTCGTTTATTTATTTATTTGGGTTAAATTATTTTGTTTGTTTTTATTTATTTTTATTTTTTGTTTCTTATTTTATCTATTTATTTATTTATTATTTTTATTTTTTTAAATCGGTGTTTTTATCAACGTAGTAAAAATTTGTTTATATCACTTGTTTAATAGTTTTGTTTTGGTTTGAGAATTTAATTAAAGATATTTGTTCGGTTTTGGGGTTGATTGTTGTAGTTTATTCTAACTATTATGTTGGTAGGAACAGTTTTTGATTTGTGTTTATTTGGGTTGATTATCTTTATTTGTTTTTTTCTAACGGTAACTTTATCGGGATTGGTTTGTTTATTTATTTACTTGGATGAATTTAGGTCAATTTACTTTACTTGTATATTTTCTCTCTTCGGTTTTCGATTTTTAAGTAACATAGTATTTATTTATTTTTTATTTTTATTTTATTTTATTTTTATTCATTTATTTATTTTTTGTTTTTATTTATCGTTATATAACAGTTATAGATATTTTTTTCGTCCGATTTTTTGGTTTGATTTTTTAGTCTAACTAATATTTGGTCATAATGGTTTGCTACTTTGTTTATTATTTACGCATATTCGTCAGAACCTTAGTAAAAAGCCAATTATTTATCACAAATGACTTTCAAATATAGTATAAAAGAACATGTTAGAAATATACGAAATCGATGAATATTTGTCCCTTTTTCTTCATGCACATCAAACAACCTCTTCTTTAACGTATTTTTTTTTGTATATAGCCGCCTCGATGCACACGTTTATAGACGTAGGTAGGTGTGTAGATGCGCAAAAGTCTTCTTTTTTTTTCGTCGTAATTTGATTCTCGCAATACACAAGATCGAACGAAAAATAAAAACGTTACAAGCCCGATACGTAGCTATATATTGAGAATGTAACTATTAGTACGCCTGCATTTCCTAAACCGCTCGAAGCTTAAATGAGAAATGTTTTACTCGTCAAATGAAAGTTAAACCTAAATACTGAAAGAAATTTGCTTAAATGGTTGTGAGTAAGAAAAAAATTACAAAAATCGGTTCGAAAGGATAAGCCAAGTTAAGAATAGAAAGCAAAATATCAACTTGAGTCTCCATTAGTAGCTAAGTTATTTTGGATCGAAGCCAAACGTCTGGCATCGAAATCATGAATTGACTGTGTCTTAATATTTGTCATTTTATTGCTATTTTTATTGTCGTTACTAATCTTTCGTTTAGAAATAAAGGTAACCTTTCCATTTTTATGTCTCTTAAATTCTCAAACTATCTTCAATTCTAAATGACTTACGCATATGTTCCGCATTCTCAAACTTTATATACGTTTTTTAATAGTCTCACCCTAAGTATGACAATAAAGCCACTAAAACACAAGGGATTATCGAGTGCGGGAGAGTATGAGAACAAAATTTTTATTAAGGAGAGAGAACAATAAAAGAACAGGAATTAAGAAGACAGAAGATAACGATTAACAATGCATTTAAATTTTTTAAGATCAAATTTGACTGTAATGCAAGAATCCGGGACGGAGTTCCACAAGCTAGAAGTACGAATAATCTGCTAGCATAGAACGTACGGTTACATCTAGCCATTTCAACAGCAAATGATGCGATCTAGTTGCCAATCTAGAACTGGGCTTAAATTTGTAAAGTCCGAATACCAAAGAAGAAAGCCCATCAGAAGAATTAACATGAAAATCTGTCTATATTTCTGAGATGAGGTATTATGTACACTATTTACATTGTTCGGACTATCATCCTCATCTTTGTTGCCATATTTATTACAACGTTTCAGCCGTTGTACGCTCCGGCCTTCTTCGGGCGTTTGGAATGTCGAACTGAACCCTTTATTTCGCTCGATTGGATAGACTGTTCTAGTTCCTAATCATTGGCAAATTTCAGAAAGTCTTTAAAGGCAAAAAAAATCAATAAATCAATCAGTGTAGAACGTAGAGAACCGATTATAATCGAGAAATGAAAATAATAAACAAGGCTATAAAGAGGATAGAATCGAGGGAACAATTTTGAAAGAATCAACGACTGACTTTAAAAGACGAACTAACTAGATCTGGTAAACAAAAAAAAATACCTTACCTTTTTTCATTGTAGCTTTTATACACGTTTAAATACATTATTTCAGTGTAGCTTTTATACTCTTTAAAATACCCTGTTTCGTTGTAGCTTTTATACTCGTTAAGAATAATTTGTTTTATTATTGCTTTTATACTCGTTAAAAATATCATGTCTCATTATCGGTTTTATAATCGTTAAAATACCTTGTTTCATTGTAACTTTATACTCGATAAAAATATCATGTTTCATTGTAGCTTTTATACTCGTAAAAATACCTTGTTTCGTTGTAGCTTTTATAGTCGTTAAGAATATCTTGTTTCATTGTAACTTTGATATTCGTTAATAACACCATGTTTCACCGTAGCTTTTATAATCGTTAAAATGCTTTGTTTATATTGTAGTTTTCCATACATTGTAACCTTTATTTTCTTTAAGAATATATAGTTTCTCACATATCCTGCCTATGGTATTGTCTAAATTTATTAGTCAAAGAATTTGTCTGTTGTTTCAAGTCATCTTTGAAGACATTTTCAAACACAACAGTGAAATATTTTTTTTTGAATTAGAAGAGTATTGAAAAATGCTAGTGACTTAAGTATGCAGCGAATATTTTGTCTATGTTAACCATCTTCTTAGTGTCATTTTCTTATACTTTCCTTTCTCTATTTCTCTTTGTTTCATTTTCTTAGCTTCTTAGCTTCTACTCTTTTGTCTTTAGTGTTATGGATTCCTATTAGAAACAAAGAGAACGGAACTGCTAATTAATATCATTTTTTCTCATATGCTGAATGCTGGGCAATTTCCTCAGAATCGACGAGGAAACTAGAGACAACTGATATGGGATCCTGCAGGAGGAGGCTGAGAATACCAAGGACAGACCATGTAAGCAAAG